GCTGAAATTACTCATAATGGATAACATAAGGAAGTTGTTTTAGTTGATGAGAAAGTAGCTTTGCAAAAAATAAGACCATTTTTATTAATTATTTGAAAAATAAAATAACATATCAATCTAGGATATTAAAATTATAATCAATTTCATTACTTTATTACAATTTGCGATAAGTACTTGCTATTCTCTCTTTAACTTTTTCATTTATTTATTAGTTTTAACCTTTTTCGTTTTATTTTTGTTCTGTCTCCTTTTTTAATATCTATTATGGATTTAATTGTTTCTACTCTGTCCATTCAATGACAAAATCATACCAAACTTAATCACCTATGATTTATCCAAATAAAGAATAAAGAACAAGTTTTAATTCTTATACATCTGATAAATGACGCTTATTTTAATATAATTTAAGTATTCTCTCTTATTCATTTTTTTATAATTATTCCAATTATTATTATAATTGAACTAATTTTTAATTGTAATCCTTAGTCAGCAAATTAACTTCACTTGGCAAATTTTATAATTTAAAATTAGATTATTCCTTTTCTTGAGGATTAAGAGATTCCAATTCTTAATTTTCCCATTTTATAACATGAGCAAAAGCTGAGGGATTGAGTGGATCAATACCTTAAACGAATACTGGTTTTTTAATTGAAACTTTGCTTTTCTTTAACATTGTTTTTACTTAGTTTTTTAATTGAAATACACTAATAGGTTGAGATTAAAATAATGTCTATTATGATTAGCTACTTTTGAGATTGGAAGTTGAAGGAAGAAGTTTTTGTGCCAACTATCTTGTTTCTTCAATTTCAATATCAAGCTAAGCAGCTTATAATAAATAATTTCTAGAAGTATCATCAAGATATCTAGGAAATTAATCTAACTTTGCATTTTCATTTATTTTTTTCATATTCTTAATTATTGAAACTAATCCTTCTGGTACTAAAGATTCATTTGCTTCTTGAAGTTATTTTAGAAATATATCTTTTAAAAGCATTTTACATCTTCTCTTTTTTTGTCTATGCTCATCTAAATCCTTTTAAAGTATCTATTATTTTTCATTATTTTTATGAATTTCATCTTTTATTTATGTAATAATCTTTTAGATATTTTTAATTTCTAAATCCCTTTATTATCTAATCTTCTCTACTATATCCATTAAATTCCTTTTCTTACCTTCTTAATCTGGTATATAGCCTAATCTTGCCTTTTCTTCCTTTACATAATATTTTCTTCGAATTTCACTAATTTCTTCTTCATATTTATTAATTTATTAAACTTATTAATTATTGTCTAATCTCATTTGATAGAGTATTTATTTGTTATCATTAATTTAAGTTTAAAATTATTAAAAGGATTCCATTAATTATTTAGCTGATGATGATGTCTATTATCCAGTTTAAATTAGTTCAACTTGAAATTAATTTTAAGGTTTATTACTATAATATTTTGCTTTAGATAGTACAACATCATAATCTATATATTATGCTGGATTACTAAAATATTCTGTTAAACCTTTAAAATTATTAAGAGTAGAACTTTTTAAGGCTTATGATTGTTCTCTGACAACTTGTGCAGTTTCTTCATCCAGTTTTTGTAAATTCCAATTAGATTTTGATTTTCTATTGATTTTTAGATCATCTAACTTTTTAGTAACTTTTTGCAATAATAATGAATTTAAGATTTATTTATTCATTTCAATTCTAACTTAATCAAGAGTTTTAAGAACTGGATTGTTTGAATCTCTGTTTGGTCTCAACATCTAAAACTTAACTTAGACTGAAGTATTTTATTCTTCATCTTGTTATTATATTTTTAATTATTGTTTTTCTTAAGGCTTCATTATAGAATTTAAGATGGCTTGATTTATTTATGGTCCACCATCATTAGTAAATTCATTATCCAATAATTTATTTTCATTTTATTTAATCTATTCAAAAGCAAAGGTTTTTCTATTTGAAATTATTTGTTCATGCCATTAATCTAATTATTCAAGTAAATGATCATTTTCATCTTAACTTTATTTTCTATGATTTTAAGATGATGGTTTATGTGTAAATTCTCCTCCATCTCCTAAATCAACAACATTTCTCATTCTAATGATTTTTCTATCTCTTATATATATAAATTGAATACCTTTGGAAATTGGATCAGCTTCCTCAAATTAATTGCTTGAACGATTCCTTGGGACTTAAGTTGAAGGTTTAGAATCATAATTTGATGGAGAATGCATAGTTGATCTAATTAGAACATTTTTTTTATTTTTTTTCATTAAAATTATAAATTAAATATTCCCAAACATAATGATTAAGATAATATATCATCAAGATGACATTTTATTTCAGAAATTAAATTGAATACTTTTTCAAATCTAGGAATGTAATCGGAGCTTCTGCAAAATTGTTAAAACATGTCTACAAGAGAAATTATCTTTTATTATGAATATAACTTAAAAAATAGTCCTTATGATTTTATCAAAATTGGATATTAAAGTTTTTAGTAAGTTGTATTTTAACAAATATACATTTTAATTTTATTTCTTTATAAAAATTTTCAATCTTTTTTGCATTCTGATGTTGAAAATATGTATTAGAGATTAGCTGTTTTAAATTGAATATAATATATTAAGAATTGAATTTTTGGATTTCGATACTCAAAAGGGATTTTCATTATGAGCCATCTATCGTATTGAATTTATGCAAAAAGTAAAATGAGAAAAAAATTTAGATTAAATTTAATTTTTTTAATGTAAAATCAAATATTTTTAGAATTAGCAATATTATTCTCAATAAATATTTATTTTTCCTTTATAATCATAGAAAATTAATTGAAATTATTATTATCATTAATACTTTAATGTCATAAGATTATGCAAATTTTGTAACAGTTTAATACAAATTATAACATGAAAATAAAGATTTTTCAAGATTTAGTAATATCTATTCAAATATGTGATTTTTTCTAAACCATATATTACTGGAGGACCTTTTCACATATTATATAGGTTTAATTATCCAAAGAATTAGAAGAATCATAGGTGTTGAAAAAGACAATACATAACATAATCTTAGAGAGTATTTTAAATTGATAAAATGAAGGTCAAGAGAATCTAATGATTTTTTATAAGAACAGTTGTTTTGATTAAAAAAACATATTGAATTTATTTTATATTTTATTAAGTGAGAATATGAAATATTCTAAATATTTATTATCTACTGTTAGCAAATAATTTTGAATATAAATAAAGGATACACCTGTAATTATTGTTAATTACCTTAACATTATATAATATATATCACTTATTAAATTAAATGTAATTTGATGTTCAAATTAACTAACATAAAGAGGATAGGAAACTAACTCTTATTAATGAATAAGAATTTTAAAATAATTAGAAGTAGCTTGCCACCAAAGTGCTTCCTTCAGCAAAATAATAAATGAGTAAAAAAAAATTCAAGAGAACGACCACTATTATAGATGATGATGAGTACACTTATAAAGGGCCATTTGAGGATAGTAAAGTGACAAGGATGATTTTTGAAAAATGTAGAATTATAGAATTGACTAGATTTTGGTTAATAGTAGCAAGTGTAATACTTAACATTTTAGAAGTATATATTATTTTGAGTTAGTATGAATATAGCTTTTCAACTTATTTAACAAAAAACATAGAGAATGAATTGAATATACTACTCTATCTAATTTTTTCGATGTCAATAATAATAATTTTTTTAACTATTATCTCATATTAAATAGAATTGGAATATAGAAAGAGTTCCAGAATAATCTCTTAAAAGGCTACTTTAATATAAACTAGCCTTATTTGGGATTTATTAGTTGAGTTGATAATAATTATACCAACATCAAACCCTTTTACAAAGGACTATTATGTAACTTTTAATTAAAGAGGATCCTCTGAAATTAGATTCTACACAATCAACGAAATTTTGACTTATATAATGTTTTTCCGACTTTATTTATTACTCAATATAGGGTTCAAATTTTAAAGTTATTATTCAAATAGGATAGGAAGAGTTTGGTAATATATTTGACTATATTAATTTAAAGTCGTTTATATCAAACTCGTTTTGGAACTCATTTAATGTTAAAGCTATGTATTCGATAATTTCCATTTTATACATTGAGTTGGTTATTTATTGTTGGATTAATTTAATATACTTACTAATTGGAAATAGCTGAGAGACCACTATTAAGAACATTCGATGTTATAAATTATTATAATATTACGAAAAGTTTGTGGGTTACAATGATAACTATAGCTACTGTAGGATATGGAGATTTCTTTCCTTATACAGATTTAGGAAGAATTTCTATGACTTTAGGATTGTTTTATGGTGTTACTATAACTTCTTTATTTACTGCTATTTTGTATAATATGTTATAGCCAGTTTCTGGTGAAAATAAATCATGGGCTTTATTGGATAAGACTAAAATTACTAAGAATATGAAAAAAGCTAGTTCTAATATATTTTTTTATTTTTATTAAATAAAAAATAAAAGGAAAGTTGCAAAACGGTTGGAAATTCAAGAAAACTTTGATAACATTCTTTTTAATTTAGAAAGTCATTTATCAGATGTAGGTATAATGAGAAGGTAATATTTTGTAATGAATTAATTTTAGAATGTATAGAGATATAGATGGTGAAGAATTTATGGAAATGGTAAAAAGGAAATTTGGTGATTCAAATCATAGTTTTAAGGATTTAATATAATATCTATAAAAAATGATGGAATAACATTAATTAATTCTTAATAATTTAGAAAAAAATTAAGATTTATAATCCTTTAAACTTAAATCGTCCCAAGTTAAAAACTTACAGTATGGCTAATTTAGCTCTCCTTAAAGTTATTAATAAAAATTAAATACAGAAGATAAACTTAGCAAAGATGACAATTTCTTTGAAAATTTAGAAGAATCAAATAGAGATTCTTGTCTAATGAGCTTTCATGATTGATAAATAATTGATAGTTAAAATTATATTATGAATATATAAAATTAAGGATCTGTAGAATTGTCTGGAAATCCAGTTTCAAGAGCAAATGAAGATGAAGCAGTATAATATTAGAAAAGACTCTCAGTTATCATTTTAAATCAAATAGAAAGAAAAAGAACAAAAGCAAAATCTACAATCATATAAAGCTCAAAACATAATGCCTTTGAAGATAGTAGAGTGACTAGAGTCTTTTTTGAAAGATATAGGGTTTTGGAATATGGGAGATTTTGGGTTATTTGTGCTACAATAGTTTTAGTTGTTTTAGAGGTGTAAATTATGATAATTAATTATAGTATGAAGTTTCTTTTTAGCATCAATTAACAGACATCTATGATAAAGAAATAAAAATATTGCTTTATTTAATAATGATCTTATCTATAATTTCAAGTAAATTGTTAATTTAATTAGTTATTATGACTTTTATTGCTTATTAAGCAGAACTTGAATTTAAAAAACGTTCTCTATCAATTCCTAAAGCAAGCAATATATTTTAAACTAATTTGATTTTCCTTCTAATCTTAGAAACTATTATTCTATTACCATGTCCTACACCATATACTATGGAATTTAAGATATTCTTTACCTAAAGATATTCAGACTAAATCAGATTTTATTTTATAAATGAGATCCTAACATTCATAATGCTCTTTAGATCTTTATTGATTCTAAATATAGCATTTAAGTTCCAAGATTTCTATTCTAATAGAGTCAATAGATTATGGTATATATATTGAACACACAATTTTAGCCGTATTTATTCAGTAGATTTTGGTCCCCATTTCATATTTAAGGTAGCTATTAGAGAACATCCTTATAAGACAATCTGTGGACTTTTTTGTATTGGATTATTCATTTTCTCCTATTAGTTAGAGATTTCGGAAAGATCTTTATTAAGAACTGAATAAGAAGTTAAGCTTTATAATTTTAATCATTCTTTATGGGTTTGTATGATAACAATATTTACAGTTGGTTATGGTGATATATATCCATCAACTGATCTTGGAAGATTTTCAATGACTTTAGGTTTATTTTATGGTGTAGCATTGACTTCTTTGTTTACTGCTATTCTATATGCTGATTTATAACCTTTATCTGCAGAAATGCGTTCGATAACCTTATTAGATAAAGCTAATTTAAAAGTCTCAATTAAATAATTTGCTTAAAAGGCTATGCTAAATTTATTTAAGCTTTAATAATATTTTTAAAGAAATAAATAACAATATATATAAAGTAATCCAGCAATTGGATAAAGAGTGTCTCATATAAAAGGTATTTTATAAAAAACAGAGAATATGAGAAGGTAATCATGTATATTATTTAAATCAGAAACTATAGAACAATTGACACTGAAGATTTCATTACTATGGCTGAAAGAAGATTTAAAGAAATGACTCATTTTTTCATTGAGTATTATGAAATGCTTGAATAGATGTAATAATAATAAGAGTTATTGGATGATATAGATACACCAAGAATTCATTCAAATGAAAAAAGTCATACAGTAACATCAGCTAGTCTTAATATAAGAAGCAAAGATGATTAATATTTTGAAGAATTGATTGATTCTTAATCAGAAAACCCATAATTAATGTAATTTAATGATGAAGATTGACAAAAATGCGAATTAAATTTCGTAATGAACATAGAGTTTATTTTTTATATTTAAATTTAATCAAATAATCCCTCCTTATCCTAGTAATCTTTCTAAAGAATTTTATAATTAAAGCATTTTGATATGAGCATCTCTATCCTATTAATCTCTCAATTATAACACTAATCTTTTTGTCTTTGCTTATTCTTATACACAAATTGAACAATTCATAAATTTTATATTATAGACCTATTCACTATATTCTTCAACTCTAACTAATTTGAATCCAACTCTCTCAAATAAACTGGAACAATCTTCAGGAATATTTTCTTCATAATGTATTAAATCAATATTTGTATCCATATATTTTTCCAATAATAAATGTTCACATGATCTAATTCAGTTATTTATATACAAATTAGTGTTATTTTGAATTCTTAATGTAATTTAATTATTGTTCAAAGTATTAGCTTCTCTTCTAAATACTTTCTCAAAAACTTCATTCTTTTTATAATTGACTTATTATCCTAATTTTTTTGATAAATAATTCAAAATTTCATGGTGATCTTTTAAAGGAGCATTGTACTCTTTTTTTACTTGAAGCATTATGATTAATTAAATTATAAATAATATATAAATTTATTAATTGGAGATAAAAACTCTATGGCTTTAAAGATTCTAGTCTTTTAACATTAAAAAAATTGAGATTAATTTAAATTAAAATATTGAGTTCAACCAAAGGTCAATAATTCTTCGTATCTAATATTTTTTTAGGGAATTTGATATAATTTATATTTCAATATTTATTAATTTAGGAGTGATGAAATATTTTTCTAAACTAGTTTACTTCTTTTTAACCATAGGCTCAAATACTGAAAGAAGAAAATCTAAAATAGATTATGGAAATCTTGCCATGATAGTATTTTATTTTATCTAATTACTTGGATATATATATAGTTAATTTGAAAGTAAAACTCAAGTGTTTTATGAAAATGATTATTTAGCATAAATTGGATAATACTCATCAATACCTTTTATGATGATTGTTATTCATTATGATCCTTTCACAACTTTAGTTTATTACTGTATTTTTGGAACAATGTGCTCTATATATCTAATTGTAATATTTCAAGTCTTTATCAAAGTAAAATTCTAATTAATATCTAGCCTTTACCTCCATCAAATCTAATAAACAGGTTTATAAAGTTTTACTTTCAAAACTTTTAATGGTATTTTTTAACACCTTTTCATGAAACTATGATTGGTATACTAACTTGTGGACGTCTAGCATATTTAGAACAACATGTTAATTTAAATCCTCGTAATTGTTTTTCTGAAATTTCCCCTCATTTTTTAATTATAAGTGTCTTTGGATAGGTTTTAGTTGTAATATCAGGATTCCTATCATTATACTGTTTTAGAAATTATGAATTTATTTAAGGGGATCTTATGAGAAAATTTAGCTATTTCAACTTTTTAACTATTTTACTACATATGATTTTACAAATGACTTCATTTTGGAAAGAAATGTATGATAATTACAATATCATTATACATATAATTTTTAATGTGATAATGCTAGTAATATCATTAGATACATTCAACAATTTCCCCTTTGGTTATTCTTATGAAACAGTGTATTTTAGTAAGTGTTTGGTGAGTGCTTCTTTTTTCGAACTCTTGGTTGCAATTTGGATATTCTCAGATTTAGATGATGGCCATATATTTTTATCTTTTTGCATAATGTTACCTGTAATAATAATTAAAGTTATGATAGTTGATTTTTGGAATTAATTAAACTTTCTATGATAATTACATTGATAATAAATGTTAACAATTTTTCAAGTCTAGACTTGATAAGATAAGTGAACATCCCTTAGAAGTTATTTGTTAATTATGTCATTAAGATATAAAATAGCAAGAAGATAATTTTATAGTTTTGAAATATTTAGGAATTCATTGTTAATTTTGTACAGATTTAATTTGTCCTTGCAAATAAAAAATTAATAAATTTATACTTTATCATAATTAATTAAATACAAATCAAATATTTATATGGGTTCAGTATGAATTTTAATAAATGATTAAATCAATTATGTAAAATCCAGATTTATTCAAATAATTTGAATAATTAACAATTAAATTTGTAACTTTTCTATAGAAATATAGAGAAAATTAAGTCTTATCATACAAAATAATTCAAGATGTAATTTACACTTTTCAGAAAATTAATACAAATAGTACTCCATATTTTTTCTTAAATCTGGCTAAATATATATAATATTAAAATAAAGTTGAAATGGAAAATATTAATAAAGCAGGAGCATAAATATCATAAAATGAATATTTAACTTTATAAGAATTTAATCTTTTTTATAGATATGAGCAAAGTTTGGTCAGAAATCTAAATGAATTATTAGTAAAGTAAAAATAATTATGGATTGAAAAATTAAGAAATTAAATTTAAATGGATAAGATTTTAAGTTTTTCTAAAGATATTATGAAAAAAACATAAAATGTAAAAAAAATAATTAAGAATTTTGAGAATTCTAAAGATATACCAAAAAATGATACAATATTAATTTTAAGAATAAAATTAGTAAGTAGTCTAGTATGTATGGAAGATATTAATGTATCAATGAAAATAGCTAGACATATAGAAGGTTATGAAAAAGAGTTAATTAATTTAAAGCAATAAAATTTTAATTCTATATAATTTATATAAGGATAAGCATTGTCAGTGATTTCAAATATATCTACTTAAACATTAGGTTGTATATCTCAATAAGTAAATGATTAATTTTGCAATTTCTTTGGATATGAAAGCAATAATGGAGCATCTTTAACTAAAATTGAGTAATTATTGCCTAATAAGATAGGCAGAATACATAATGGATTGATTGAATCTTATTTATAATAAGGTAAATCAAGTAGATTATATTAAAATTCAGATTAGTTTATAATAAATTCTGATAATTTGATTGAAAAAGTTAATATATGTTTGAGTACTCTATTTCCTTATTAAAATGGATAATATTAATTTTTAATAATTGGTCATATATTAAAAACAATGAAATATGAAAAGAAGGAAATAGATTATAATAAAAGAGGATATATATTAGTAGATTCAAATTTCCTTATATTTGGATTATCTCGAAATGTTTATGAAAGAATCAATTATAAATATTATTATAAAAATGAAAAAGATATAGAATTAATATTACCTGAAGAAATATATGATTAATACTCTATCTAAACTCTAATACCTTAAGTATCTTTGGTATTGGAAGAGTATTATAAATTGTTGGCTTTAAAAAATGAAAAGAAAATATTGAAATAAGATTAAATATGTCAAAGAGAAATAGGAGTATTTTAGGCTCCATCTGTTTAGAGTTCCTAATACAAAACATGTTCATCTGTTTTAACAAAAAAAATTACAAATAAACACATGTTGAATATTTTAAAAGATACTAATATAAGTTTGTCTAGATTTCCTACAATGTCTTAAAAATAATATCCAATAGAATATAGTGTTATACAAAAGGTTTTAAATTATGTTGAAAAAGATACAATATATGAATTTCTATATTTTATAATTGAACTTGACTTTTTAGAAGACCCTAAATTAAATACTTCTCCAAATTAAGTTGTTGCTCGAACTCCTGCACTCTCTGAAATACTGAGACGACAGTAAATACAAGTTGAATAAGTTAGACCTAATTAGAGTAATATAATATTATCTAATGATGATAATAATGATTAGATAGAATTAGTAGCAGAATTAACAAATACAGGAACTAGAAGAAGTTCTAATGAAATAATAGATCAATTAGAAAAAATCATAATCTATATTAATGATACTGTAGTGCCAAAATCAATTAAAGATTTTATAGCATAATTGATAATACAGATTTTAGTATTTATGGCTATAATCATAATTATGTGTACTATTTTTCTATATAAGAAATCCATTCAATCAGATTGCATTGAATAAATTACTTATGATTTAAATTTTTTGGATGCTTATAGTGAAGCAATGTCAGGATCTAGACATGTCATATATTATAGAGATTTCTATCATCTATAGAATGACACTCTTATTCATTTTAATCTTAATGAAATCAATTTCAGTAGATATGATAAGATTTATATAGCTTGGTAACATATTTCTAAAGGAAATATCAGATTAAATAATATGTATGAAAATTACACAAAAATAGCTTAAAAGAGTCAAATTCAATTATTGACTATATATTTTGTAAACTTTGACTTAAAATCTAAAATTTAATAAGAAGTCTAAGATTATTCAACCTATTATCAAATAATGCATTAAACTTTCTATCTTTAATATTAATCATTTTCCTCATCTCCTTAACCCTACTTATCTGGTAATAATGACTCTTACTTAACATAATTAGCAAGATCTCAAGTTTATTACAACTTTTTTGATGTAATTGAAAGTGCCAATTTAACACTATAAGACTGTGAATCTTATAATCTTGATATCAATAATTATTTTGATACTGTGATAATATATTATTTTTTGGGAATGTATATTGTCATAATGTTAATATTGATTTCCATTATAATCCATTACTATAGGGTTATAAACACTATCAAAATCTATATAAAGCTTTTTAAAATGTGTGATAAGGAGGATTGTTAACATATAATACATTTATGTGAATCTTTGATTAGTATGGTCAATTATGATAAAATCTTTTTGAGATAATAAGACTTTAAAATAATTCTGGCGTAACCTCGCCACATCTTAGATAATGTTAAAAAATCTTAATCTAAGACTACAATAGTATTGATTAGAAAGAAAAGGAATAACGAAAGATTAATAAAAACTAGATAAAATAATTTAAGATATTATTCTTTGATTTTGCTTATATTAATATCAATAGGCCTAATTGTTTATATATTATCATTTCATTTATTCTACAATCATATTAAAGATTCGATAGCTCCAATAAGTACATAAGCTATCTTAGCACAAGAATAAAGATTAAATTTTATTGCATCAGTAAATCGTTTTGATTTATACCTTATTAAATTGTATTTTGAAACCTATTCAAAATTTAATGATGGAAATTATGCATATTCTAATAAAAACATTTAAACAGATACATAAATTTTATAATTATTAAATATTGAATTTGAAACTTTAAAAGAGGATTTAGATAGACTTAAGAATATTAATTTTGTAAATTTAATCTTTGATCTTTCATATTCTGGATTAGATAGTGATCAATAAGATTAAATTTTAAAAAGTGATGTTTGTATATTTACTGGATGTGATATGCAAACAGAACTTTTCTTTGATAGATTATATTAAACTGATTTGGTTCCTCTGTTTTTTACAGGTGTTTTGAATTTGCATACAAAAATTTTAGGTTTTATATAAGATGCATTTTAATTAATCTCTTCAGATTAGAGTGATATGGAATTAATAAAGAATTTAGAATAAATTTTTGATGATAGTGATTATCTCATATATATACATTGGGGATTAGATGTTATCCAATTCTAAATATCCTAATTTAGTTAATACTTTCTAAATATATCAAAATAAACAATTAATGGTCTTACTTAAAATAATCAATTATTAATAGTTTCAATTGGAATTCTTTTACTGATTTTAATTTCAATTTTTTCAATTATGTTTGTAAATATCTAATATTAAAGATATGTACAATCAAAAGCAATAATAAAATGTATTCCACTTCCAATACTATTTTAAAAGAATATTCCAAAACATCTAGAAAGCTTTCGAAGAAAATATGAACAGTGATTTAATTATTTACATTATTATAAATTTCTTTTTCTTTTATTTTAAATAGTATATTAAAAATTATTCAATTTATGATCTCAAGGATTTTTGAATATTTATTAAGGATATCATTAACAGATAATATGAAAAAGGAAATAATTTTCTAGTTTCCAGAAAAAATAATTTTATGGATATACTTTTGCTAACTAAATGGATTCTTGATTAATAGAGTTGAGAAGAATTTCACAATTTTTTAAGAGAATTAATATTTATTCACAATTTTTGATTATGCCAATATTGTTAATCCCTTAACTCAATATTTAAATTTAGAGACCATGACTTATGTTTTGATACTACAATTAATTATGTTTTATGTATGCAATTTTACTTTAATGTTGAAGAAATAAGTAAATATATCAATATTTTATTAGAAAGTTAAATTAGTTTGCAATTACTTTATTTTATTTAATTGGATAATGATGTGTCCATTTTAAACCATATTTGTTATGGTTACAACTAAAAATGAATTTATTCACTAAAACATTAAAGATTTAAGTACCAATAAAGAAATATTTTTATTAATTATTTCTATATTAGGAACAATAATAATAACTATCACTTCTACATTATCAAATTTTATTTTTTAAAAAAGGGAAATTAATTAAGAGATGCTTCTTAAATATAATTTTAAACTTATTTACATTTTAAGCCCTCTAACTTAATTCTATATCATAATCTCATATTTAATATAAAATTTGTAATTGCAAATTATTACTCATATATTACACTTTATAATTATGATTTTGCATTTGATCATTACATTATAATTTCCTTTTGGACTTAATTCAATATCATTATTACATAATTAATTGACCATACTCAGTATCTCATTTAATTGCCTTATCTGTATTTGGAAATACTCAAGTTAGAATGATTAATTCATCTTTTTATCTTTATTTATAATCGGAATGGTAATTATGTAATATTTAATATATAGTTATTATGGTATTGTGTTATAATCATATTCTAAAGAAGACTAGATAAGATTATACATAATTTTTGTTCAAAAAGAGAAACCTCACATTTAGCTCAAGTATTAGAATATTTTATTTAAACTCATTAATATACATTGAAACATTTAATTCAATTAAATATTCATAGAATTTATTGTAAAGATCTTCTTTGTCCATGTTAAAATTGTTAATTATTAATTATAGATAATATTACTATAGTTTAATTAGTATAAAAATAAAAAAGGAAAAAGAAATTTGTTATTTAATAATGGATTATGCATCAATATAAAAAATATTTTTTATAAACAGAATTAACAAAAAAGTAATAAGATTTAATAATTTTGAATTATCTATCATTTTAAAGAATTTTTTTAGAAAATCATGTATTGACTTGTAAAACAATTTATTAATGTATTGAGAAAGTAGAAAAAGGAAAAAAGGAATAGTATAATGCGATCAACACTTTATTATATATGATTCAACAAAATTGCAAATAAAAATTAATAATTCAAACTTAATAATAGATAAAAATAACTTAATAAGAATTTATTATTATTACTGATATTAATATAATGTATGAATTAGCAGATAAGATTATTCTCCATTTATCTAAAGTAATCTAAAAATAAATAAAATTATGGGAAAAATATTAAAAAAATGAAATAAGAAATTTTGATTAATTATTGAAAATTATTAATAAGATCAAATTATAAAAAAAGAAATGTATAGATCTATTTCAATAATATTAAGAATTTAGAAATTAAATTAAAGAGACCATTTATTCTTTGAGAGTAAAATTATTATTTTACATTATCATATAATAAGATTTAATATTGATGACTAAAATTTAATCATAATTAATGTAATTAGAAGATGCATAACAATTTGATTTAAATATAAATGATTTTAATAATCTATCTTTTTTAACTGGTTAAGCTTTATCTATAATATCAAATATAAGTCCAGAAAATTAAGGAAAATTAGAACAATAAATAACAAAAGAATTTAAAACATTTTTTGGATATAAAAATGATGAAACAAATTTAACACATATTAAATAATTAATGCCATCTAAATTTGCAGAAGTTCATTCTGGATTAGTTGAAAATTTCTTTTTTAAAGGATAAAGTGATAGAATTAATAATGCATCTATTGCATTTATTTTAAATTAAAAAAATTTAATTGAATAAATCAAACTATGTTTAAGTTATTTTTTCCCTGTTGATTTAAGAGACACATCTTTTTACATGATTGCACATGTTTAGAAAACATCAAAATAAGATTAAGATATTCATGATGAAAATTTAACAGGTTATTTTTTAATTGATAAAGAATTTAATATTTTTGGAATGACTTAAAACATTTATAAGAAATTAAATTATAGATATTATTTTAAAAATGATGTTAATGCTAATTTAATTCCTCCTTAATAATTTTATAATGATCACAATATTTTTTCATTAATACCATCATTTTAATAGAAATTATAAAATTATTATGAAAGATAACCTAATGGAAGTTTGAGAGATAATGATATAATCTTTATCAAAGAGAGAGGTTTATTAAAATTAGATTTTCATAAATAAGAATAAGAACATTCTGCTTCAAAATAATTCAATAAGAAATTCTCATTTACTAAATTTACAAATAAACAAATTTTGAGTTAAATGCTTGACAAAAGTAGTGAACTAATAAACTTTTAGAGTAATGAAAATATTAAATATTTTCCAATTGAATATACTGTTACTTAAAAAATCTTACATGCTTATAATCTAAATAATAAAATAGATCCATTTTTATATTATTTGATTGAAATTGAAATGTTAGAAGATTTTAAAAAGATATAAGATTTAAACAATAGTACTAATAAATTTTTAAAAAATAATAATAATAAGAAACAATAATCACCTTAAAAAATTGAAACATAAAGATAAACTACTGCTTAATTGTTTTAATTTGAAGCTATCAATTTTGTAACTAGTGATCATTTAATTTCATAAAATGGTGATAAGGAAGCCCTTGCAAAAGAATCTCCTTAAGAAAAATAGAAATAAAAATAAAAGTAAAAGATTTTATAAAAAGGACTCATTCCAATATAAAATGATGCCTAAAGTTAAAAGTCATCAATAATGAATATCCCTAATAAAGTTCATAAATTTGTTGAATTTCTTCAAACAAATAAATATCCATCTATATTTCATGGAATATTTGGATTAATTATAGCTCATTTTCTTATAGTAATATTTTATATTAGCATTACATCTGTTTTATTTCATGAAAAAAAAGAAATTCAATCAAATTGCATAATTTATACATTTAGTGATGTTGATTATTTTAATGGTTTTAGTTTAATTTTATCTGGATCAAGACATACAATATTTAATTCAAATTATTTCAGTATATTATAACCACTTATTTTAAAAGTGGATAATAAATCATTAAAATTAACAAGTAAGGATTGTATAATTATTTCATGGCATTTATTAATGTCAGGATAATAAGATCTTGTTGGAAAATATGAAAACTATTCATAAATATTATTAGAATATGAATAAAAATAGATTACATATTATTATCCTGATTATTCTAATTCAAAAATCTTAAGTTAAGTATTACTTGATTAAGCTACATATTATACTACTATGTACCTTTAATTTTATTTTACTTATCGAAGCATTTTATCATTGAATGCTTATTTATCTGGTGGAAATGACAATATATTTTTGTAATTAAATTATTTAAATTTAGAGTGAGAAATAGATATATACTTTATTTTAATTATTAAGATGCCATTGAATTAACAGAAGATTCAATTTAATCATGTTATGATTATAATAATGATGCAAATAAATACTTTGATTAATTAACTTAATTATGGTTTATAATTTTGTATATAGTAGCAATATTAATTTTAATTTTCCACATTGTAACTCTTCTTAAAATTAAAAAAGTAATACAAATTTATTTAAAATAATTTATTCAAATAGATTTTGAGGAAAGTTAAATTATAATAAAATAATTTGAAAATATGTTACAAAATTTAAAATAAGAAAATATTTTATTGAAATATTAAGATTTTGAAGTTATTAAATAGATTCCATCTAATATATTTTAAGTTTTATAATAATAAGAAACTAAAACAACTTTATAAGATGAAAATGAAATTAATTCTAATCGTAAAAAAAGAGTAACATCAATTAATGCAAAAAAAATAAACTTTGCTACTCCATCTTTTTCAATTAGAAAATATCTTTTATTATATATATTTTTGATGTTACTTAAAATATCCTTTTCAGTTGTATTTTAGATTTATTATGATTACTTATCTTCTGGAATTGCACCAGCAGCTTAAAGAGAATTAGAATCATAAAAAATGAGGTTAGATTTCATTATGACAATAAATATGTGGGATACTTATCTTTTAAAATAATTTTATAATGCTTCTTAACATTTAGTAAATACTAGTTCTATATTTAGTTATACAAATTAAAATATAAAAAATAACTAAAAGTTATTCAATTTATTAGAAATTGATAAAAATTCTTTATTAGAAAAAATAAAAATTATTCAAGCTTATGATTTAACTGATTTTCTATATCATAATTCAGATGAATAAAATTAGAATTTATTAATTTCTGAATCTAATAAATAAATCTTATTAGGATAGGATGTTTGTTTATTGACTAATTGTAATATGATAAATGATTTATTTCATGATCGTCCTCATACTGAATATTTGATAGATTATTATTAAGCTGGTTTAATATAATTATTTAAGAATGTTTTGTAAGTAATAGTAGAATACAATTATTTAATAACAGATGACTCTTTAACACCAGAATAAAAAGTTGAAGGAATTGTTCAGATGTATTAATCTTTCAATTATTTTATATATATATTTTATGGATTGGATGCTACATAATATTAGATATCATAATTTTGTAAATATTTTTTAGATTAAACTTTAAATTAATTAGAATATTTAACATCTTCAAATATTATTTATGTTTTAACTTTTGGAATTTTATTAATGATAATTACTATTATTGCTGAATGCTATATTTTCTTCAATTTCATTAATAAATTTGAATTAGCTAGAGAGAGTATTAGATAAATTCCACTTGAGACTTTATTTCAAAAAGGAATACCAAAAAAATTGAACAATATTATGATGAAATATAATTGAATTTTATTTAATTGAATAATAATTATAATATTACATTTAAAATTATATAAATATATTTAAAAATCATAAAGTTTAGAATAGTTCAGAATTAGTATTAATTATTTCAGTAAATACCTTTATTAATTTTTCATGAAATTCTATATGAATTTAATTTAAACAATTATTATATGAATCCATCCAATCTTAAAATTCAGGAACTATTAATTCTTACTTTATTTTTATTATATTTTCAATACCAAATTGAGATATCTTCTAAATCTAATATAATATTCCTTTTTTAACAATCTAAAGTTCATTATCATTCAATTTATATTAAGTTTGTTCAAATATAAATTCTTAAAATGCTTCTAAACATTTAGATTCATTCTTTTTAACATCATCACATAACTCTTATAGAAACTTTTACACTTTTTCAATATATGTATTTAGTATTTTATCTTAAATGCTTGAATCTAATTATTTTAAAATTGTTGATGGATCAATTGAATAAATGCAATCAAAATTAAGATTAGCATTATGAATGTTAAACATATCTTCTTATTTTTCATCAATTACTTTTAGAATAATATTATAAGCATTTCCTACACTTCTCCAAATAGGTAAGGGAAATCTATCTCCATTATGAATAAATATATCGAATCCAATTATCTTTCCTAAACTGAAAAGTCTCTCTTAATTAAATATTTTTTTAGCTCTCTCTCCTTAAAAACAATAGAGTTAAAGACCAGGAATATATTCAATGATCTCAAAGTAAGCAACTTTTAATTTTTATTTAAGTCGATGAGATAACACTTCATCTGTTGAAGCTGCAAATAATATATCATTTCTAAGTTCTTACATCTCTACATCACACCATTTTAAACATTTCATCTAAGTTGTTTTTATATCAAGTGCTTATGCTAATTTGTTAAGAAAAAGTTCAACACCAACTTAACCTGATAACTTAAGAACAATTGCACCTTACTCTGAATCAATAAATATTACTCCTCTAGAACCAGAATCACTCATCTTAATTGATTTAATGTTCTTTAATTTTATGAAATCAAAATCCACATAAGGTTTAGCTGCATAATCAAACTCTTATAATTAGACTTACGATTTATTTACATTTTACTATTCTATTTGTTATTCAACTATTTCTTTAGATCTTAAATGAATATTTTTGATATATTTATTTTATTTCATTAATTATAATGGTTTTAATCTTCTTCTGAAAGTTTTATATTTAAATGAATTCTGTTCAATTATGAAGAAAATTTATGGTTATTATAATATTAGGTTGTGGTTATTTTTATTTTTTTGTAATTAAATCAAAAATGATTATTGTATCAATTATTTATATGGTTTATAGATATATCTACTTTTACAACACCAATAGTTCATGTAATTAAAAATATATTAATCAAAAATTTGCCAATATTTAATTAATACTTCCTAAATCTATAAATTCAAACTCTAACAATTTTGGTAATTCAATATTAGTTATTTGCTTTGGATCGAAATCTTGAAATTTATCCTTATCAATTTTATGGATCAACAAAGATTAATGAGAGTACCCTTAAACATTATTGTCAGATATCAAATTAATTTCCTTTAACTCTATAATTTTATATTAACAATATTCATTTACATCTTTATAAGAAGAAATCTGAAGATAATTATATTTATTTATTAATCCTTTTTCAATAACTTTGAATTTATCAATTATGCCATTCAAAAGAATACCATAAATAAGACTCAAATAGATAATAAATCTTATTTTGTAATGCTTTTATGATACTATATCACTGGATTTAAAATAATTATCCCTCCATAATTAATTCTAAAATATTTTATTAGATTTTAAAAATATCTGATTTATCCTACCATTTGTTTTGATTTTATATCATAATTTTTATAAATTGATTTTTACATATTTATCTTTAGGGAAAGAATTAAAGATTTTAATTTAATCTCTGATTAAATTAATTTATTAGAATTTATGTATTATTTATTTATTATATAATTTTAATTTTATATTAGCTTTTTGGCTAATATTAGATTTATTCAGCAATGATATTTTTATTTTTTAATCCATTGCAAGATTCAATATACTAAGAATTGATTACATTATTCTTTGTTTAATTTAAATCATTAATAAATTGTTGTCATTTACTTTAATATAAAAATTTTAGAATAGAGGTTTCATATACCTATAATTAGATAAAACAATATTATAAAAAATTTAGTTGATTAATGGGAGAAATTATTTAATTGAATTTCGGAGACATTGGAAATAATATTGGATATTAATATTTACAGAAATTAGTAGATGATCATTATTTAGATGAGAAAAACAATTCGATTAGGGATTAATATAAATAAAAAATTCATGTATCATTTTAGGAATTAAAGAATTAATAATACTAGTTTAGAGGAATATTTGATAATTCAAGTGATTGTAAAATCATAGATTATATTTTAGAATCCATTAATCAACTATTAATATCTCCTGAATGTGAATACATCAATAATGACTTATTATTGTCTTAAAGAAATAGGAATTAATCAGGTACCTATTCAAATAGCTAAATCAACTTTAGAGATTAAGGAGCAGATGAACTATTTGAAAAATTGAGACATCAGATTGAAAAATGTGATAGGGTTTTTGGATGTCATTTTGTCCATTCTACTTATGATAATTCATCAGGTTCATCTGGATAGGCAATTAATTATTATAGGGATAGATATTCAGATAAATTTAGTAGTTCTTTTTCATTAATTCCAAATATTGTAAGTACTAATACCATTGAAATTTATAATACTACTTTTTCACTTCATCAATTAATTGAAAATTGTGATGTTGTTATGCTATTTGATTATGGAGCATTGGAAAAATAATTATTAAAAATAAGATAATAATGCAATTTTGAAAATTACAATAATGTTATAGCAGAATGTTTATTATAAATAAATTGCTCTTAACGTTTTCCTGGTCATTAAAATGGAGATTTAAGAAAACTTTCCACTAATCTTATTCCTTTTCCTCGTATTCATTTCTTAACATGCGCATTTACTCCTATTGATATCAATTAAGATTGGAAATAGTAAATTAACAATTTAAGTATACCTGATAATACTTATCTAACTTTTCATGATGTAACTAGAAATTTATATTTTACTCAAGCATTAATTACAAGATGCAATTCATATCATTTAGATTTTTAATAATCTCTATCAACATTATAAAATAAATTAGGTTGGATTCCTGATGGTGAATTACATATGAATTGTAAAATTGAAAATAGAAGTCTAGGAAAAACAGTTATGCATGTGGGAAATCATAGAGATTTAGGACTTAGCTTTAAATTACATGGTGAGTTATTTACTGCAAGTTTTAGAAGAAAAGCTTTTTTACATTATTATTTATAAGATGGCATGGATGAAATGGAATTCACTGAGGCTGAGTCTAATCTAAATGATTTTGTCTCTGAGTATTAAGATTGCTGTTGCCATGCATCATACTATGATGAAGAAGAGTATAATGAATAAGTATATGAAGAATACATTTGAAAATAATTATAAATTATTAATAATACATAAATCAAAAAAATTATCTAGACATTTTCGAGAAAAATATTTGAGTAATAATATAATTAAACATTATTTTAGCTTTTTATAAAACTATAGATTTTTATTCATAGTTTAATCAGTAAATATGTTAAATAGAATTTATGAAAAAATGAAAGAATTTTAATTAACCACAAATACAAGATATTCCATATAAAAGAATAAGTCATAACTCCCATTCTTTTTTATTAAAAAATAGTTGTTTTTATAACAATATTTATATGATGTATTTTATCAAATATATCATTAAATTTAATTACTCACTCATAATATTATATTTGATAAATCATATTATTATTATTAAGGTTATGGTTCATCTAATCCTATTAAATCAATTGTTTCTTATTGAGGATTTAGAGGTAATTATTAAGATTGTATTTAGGTAGTTTGAACACCAAATTGTTATTAACTATTTCCAATCCAGAAATTCGTGGATGGTTAAGTAGATTAATGTGATTATTCAGTATAATTAGTAGTCATATCCCAGGCACTATTAGCTGGAGATGTAGAAAATGAATTAATTTACATTTATTGTACTTAATGTTATTATTATTATTATTATTATTATTATTATTATTATTATTAAGGTTAATTAAATTGGGAATCCCATTAAAAAGGATTTGGACTTGGAGAATGAGATGTTGAAACAAATCCAAAATTATCAAAAGCTTATTGAGTAGATTATTGTTAAACCCATTAATTTGGATTATCCCAAGCATTGTTAGTACTAAAACCTTATTGAGGATTACTAAATTAAGCAAAAATATCTTATGATGATTTTGATTATTGTTATTATTAATTAAATCCAGAAAATGGCTGAAATTATTATTATTATTATTATCTTTATTATTGTTATAATTATTACACTTATTATCTCTACACATATTATTATTAAGGTTATCGAACTTATTATTATTATTGCTATTTAAATTAAGTTTTTTCTGTTTAAATCTTTTTTTGTAAATTCATTAATTCATCAATTGGAATATCACCATCAAATTTCTTAACTTTGAAACTATTTTTATTATATTATTCCATTTCTTATTCTAATTTTTATTCTCTATTTTTTATTTCTATTGCTTAAGCCTAAAATTTACTTCAAATTATTACATTTAATTATATATATGGTAATGAATGGAATTGAGCTAGAATTCTTTCAACATCAAATATAGATGGTCTTAATTTTGGATCAGGAGTAAGCATAAGTCTAATAAAATCAATCAATTTATCTGAATATCTATGCTATTTAGGTATATTATATGTAGCAGTGGAGATGGCTAATTTAGAGCTCTCTTAAAAGGGATGTATAAAAAAACACAATGTGTATAATACACATCCTAACATCCAAATATCAGCTTTTTCTCCTACATCATATCTCAAAAACAAGTCAGCCATTTCTGGAGGTCTATACATTAAAGTTGTATTTTTTTCCCATTCTTCTTCATAAATTATGAAATCAGACTATCTGATTTAACTAATAATAATAGTTTATAATACTAACCTTAAATCAACTCTTTAAGTACTAGCAGATCCAAAATCACATAATTTACATCTTCCGTTTTAAAATAACACATTCTCTATTTTTATATCCCTATGAGCCATAGGTGGTTGTAAAGTATGCAAACACTTAATGCCTTATGTAATTTCCTAAGAGAATTTCAATTAAACATATATACTCTCATATAGCCTAAAAGTTATTCTTCTGGAAATCTTGAATTTGGATCTTTAGCCATCAAATCAAATAAGCTTCCACCACCACAGAATTCCATTAGAATCAAACATACATGTTATCCTTTCTCTTATACAAATGTGCCACCCATGAAATTGACCAAATTTGGATGTCTAGGCAAACGTTTCTGGTTAAAATTTGAATTTTTATACCATAATTTCTAATTCATTCCTTGCTACTTAAGTTCTCTCTTCTCCTTAACAATAAGATTTTTTCAATGCAAAAACTTCTTTGGTATTTACATCAATTGCTTTTAGTATATAGCCATACCCTCCTTCAGATAACAACTTTTCTTCTTAAATTGTACGCCCATTAATATTATATCTAGATAGCATAATAAAATTTATAATTATTCACATTCACTCTAATTAAATTATTAGCATCCCTCATTGAAGTATGCAGTATATCTATTCAATCAAGATTTTGTTGTATTGATATAAAAATTGTTCAAACCAGCAGAAGTATTACTATATTTTAATTTAGGAAATATTTTATCATACTTTCTTGACTTTTTGAATTTATTATAAATTTTTGAGACATTCTTATCTTATTTATAATTTATTAATCTAATTAAAGTTATTAGATAATAGACTTCAAATACAATTTTAAACACTTCAAACATCTTTCTTGACATTATTATTTATTTCTAATTATATCAAAAATTTGATAAATAACTTTTAAGAGAAAACTCTCTTCACAAATTATGAAAATTTTAAATGAAACCAAACTAATTCTTATCTTATTTATATTGATCAGATCTTTTACATCTGTTAATCTGATCTTTTATTAATTCTAATTATCACAAGTTTTTAATACACAGTAATCTAATAAGATTGTTTATGAACTTTTGTGTATTATATAATATAATTTTGCATCTGAATATTTGTGTTACTCTATTTGTTAATACAATAATCTTAATTATGTTTTGAATTGCAATATTAAAATACTTTTTTGTATTTAATTACTTTAAAATTTAACAAATCATAATATTATTATGATAACAAAAATAAAGACAGAATTATACATGATAGCTTTTATCAATATATATATTAAATAACTAAGAGATAGAAATAAACATTAATAATATATGTTATTTAAATTAGAATATTTTAAGAAATAATATTCATTATTATTTGCCTTTTACCCAGATGCCTTCAATAATATTTCCATTTGGTTCAATTAATTTTCCTTTACCATCTTATTTTCCATTTTTCCAATTACCTATATATTTTTAGCCATTTGGCCATCTCAATTCTCCAAATCCATGCTTCTTATCATTTTTGAATTCGCCTTATAATTTATTAAATTTAATACCAACATACTCCTTACCATCATAACATAATGTACCCTAACCTTCCATTTTACCATCAACCCAATTACCTTTGTATGTTTTTCCATTGTACCAATAATATTCTCCATAACCGTGAAAATTTTCATTCAAAAATTCACCCTCATAATGTGAAGAATCACCCCATTTAAAAATTCCTTTTTTTACCTTTTTACCTTTTTCAAAAAAGCCTTCAAATGAGGTTCCATTATCCCAGTGAATTTAACCTTTTCCATCCTAGATTCACCTTAACAATATACAGGAAGCCCATCTTTAATTTCGCCATCGTATATTCCTCCATCTGGAAAAGTATAAGGAACTTGAGAATAACAAGAGCCCATAAATTAGAAATAAAAATAATCAATCGAATTTATATTCAATTAAATCAAGTAACTTAAGTTTGTTTTTATTGAATAATCTAAGATCTTCTTAATCAGCTGCTTCCATTAAATACGTAGCCAAATATTTGAGTTCCTAATCATTTTTATCTTCATGCCATTCTAATATGGGTATCCCATTATCAATTTAAAACCCAAAAGAATGAGCAAGATTATCAACAATAAGCATATTTTTAATTTGCTTATTAGAAATAATTCTAAGATCCTTTATATAAAAGCCATTTTTAGTTTCCAAACAATTCTACCTTGATAAAATGCCAGAAATCCATTAACCTTTAGGATCCAAGTACTTGACAATAGTACTAGCATAAGCACTAGATGAAGCAGTATATATATAGATTGTATAGAGTTAACTCATTTATTATAAAAACCATTAACAAAATGGTCGAACATTTAAATATATCTACAAAATAAAATTGTTGAATTACTCTAGCTTCTTCTCCTTATTCACTAACTGCTATTATGCAAGTTTAAGATTTTTCTCTTGATGAACAACTATGAATTAAAGTTTCATCCAAATCTAAGAGTAAAGTTTTTGCCTTAGGATTTCGAGCTTCAGGTAATACTTACATTTTTGTTTTAATAAAATTTAAACTTGGTCCCTTTAAACAACGAGTAGCATATATTAATCCTCTTTAGGTAAGTTGTAAGAATTTATTAAATGAAGTCTCACCTATTGTAGGTCCATAGATTAGATGTCGAAATGGATGATTAAAAAATTTACAACGTGCATTTTATTTAGCTTTTGACAATTCAATGTCAGAATTGACATCTCTCTGCAATTTACTATGATTAAGTAAGATATTACACTTAAAAAACTTATTAATTGTTGTACTCTTTCATCTTCTATTGGATTTTAGTTGATTACTCTTTTACATTATATGGATCTTCATTATTACTTTAAATTTTATGTGTTTTGATATCTTCTTCTCTTTCTTCTTCAGCACCTTCAACATCACCCTCTATTCCATTTATTAAATTTCTAAATTTTGATGGTTTTTAACCTACTATAAATTTTATTGTACTTGTTGGTCCTTTTTTAGCATGCTTTGGGGAATCTTTATCTGAATCATCAGTTTGATATCCAGTGAGATTTTGACTAAAATGTGACATTTTACTTGGTGGTTTACTGATTTATTTTAACTAGAACTCATCCTTCTTTTTAGTTTCAGATTATTCATCCTCTGAATAAAACTATTTATCATTATTCAAGTGTTATAAATGTTAGACTGAGGTACTGGCTCTAAATTTATATATATTATCCATTTAATTAAATATTATAATGGATTCTAAATTTATTGAAGAATTTGATTACTTGGACAAAGATTAGAAAAATTAAATGTTAGTTAATCTGAAATCTTATATTAATCAATTACAATCTTAAGTTCAAGAATTAGAGAGAAGTGCAATTGATATAATTATAGAAAAAGATGAAAAGATTTTATTGTTAGAGACTCTTCTCAATTAATTATCACCATCCAAAAATTATAATAAAGATGAAGAAATACTTTAATTGAAAGCGTATCATAAATTATTTTATAATAGCCATATAACAGAACTTTATTAAAAGCTTGATGTTGATTAAGCTTAACATTATGAAGAATTATAAGAAATTGATAGAAAATGGAATACATATTTATTAGAATAGATTTAATTAAGTAGTCAAGATGGTTAATAATAAAAAATTGAAATGTTAGAGTCATTGCTTAATCTAGAAAAGAAGAATTAGAAGTATGATCAAGAAGTATATTTTAAGGTAAATTCTAGCTGAAAATCAAAGAAAATCAAATAATGATAGATAAGAATACTATAAGTTCATTAACAAATAAAATTCAATTATTATAGGATGAATCTTAAGAACTAAACTAACAGTTAATCAAAATTCAAAGAGAAAAGGATTAATTACGTGATCATTTTTAATCAGATAAAAATGCATTAGAAATTAAAATTAATGTATAATATATCTATCTTATTAAAGAAATTAAATATATTGTAAAATCAAAAGGAAAAATAAGTCTAAAATCTAAAGACATAGAATGCAAAATTAATTTAAACCAACAAAGAATTATTAAATTAGATAAATGAATTAAGAGAATAAATTGAAAGATAGACAGAAATTAAAGATTAAAGACATTCAGATAATTATCTTTTATAATAAACAGCTCATACAATAGATTAGATATAAAGAGAAGAAGTCAATATAACAGCATTTGAAATATTAGAGGAAAGTTATGAGGAAAAGGATTAGATGAATAATTTAAGATAAATTTTAGATGAAAAATCAGAATAGATTGTTTAATATGAAGAATGCATTAGATAATCTACAAAATAGATAAAGGAATAAAGAGCACAATTACAATTATTATAATATTAACTCAAATAAATAAGATAATAATAATTCAATCAAAAAAATCTTAAAGAATATATATAAGCTTTAGAAAGTGATTTCTTAGTTTCTAAATAATTATTAGCTGAAAAAGCAGATCGTTATTAAGAATAAGTAATATTATTGACTTAAGAGAATTACAATCTAAAACAAAAGGTTAAATGTTTTTAATCCAAATTTCATAAGAAATTTAATCGAAATGTGGATTGATTTCAATATTGTATAATTTACTTTCTATATAAATTACAAAAATCAATTTAATATTAAATTTTAATACAAAAATTATTATTTCAAAGTAATTGTATTTTTAATTTTACTTTTTTTTGGATTCATATTACTTGTATCATAACATCTATACTGAATATCCTAAACCAAAGCATTTTAAAGTCCTTATTATTTTAATGTTTATTTTTTTGCTAAAGTAATGAGATGTTTTGTATTGAATCTCAAAGAAACTAAAGGATTATTTTATTATTGTTAAGATTTAACAATATTATTGTATTTGAAAATGTTCGTATAATTTCCAATTTTATTTCACTCTAAAATTTTAAATATTATTTTTTTTATTCTTCATTTATTATCATTTCTTCATCTTATATAACTTATGTATATGTTTTTTAAGTTTTTGATTTCTTTCTTAAATTTTATAATATATGGTATTTCTGCAACATAATTCAAGCCCTTTATATAGAATCTAATCATTTTTCATTAAGTTTAAATCATATTCGAAAAGATCCTATAAAGAAAGTTATAAAAATTGTTAGAAATTATTGAGATCTTCTAATTTCTTTACACTAATTATGTCTGATCAATTCAAACTAAACCATTAAAAAAGTGATTTTATCACAGATGCTATTTAACAAACTAAAAAATTGATGAATATTAAGATTACTAATATTAATACTTCTTCCACTTAAATATTTTGTATAATTATTTTATATATTCATACCAAATAGACTATTACTAAATATGTTGCCAATTTTGCAGATGATTATCTAAGAATAACAAATAACTATTTGAATTTAAATTACATTAATACCTCAAATAAAAAAAAAGGAAAAACTTAATAGCAAATTTATTAGTATAATTTAATAATTAAATGTAAAGTCATTGTGACTTAATACTTAATGAAAGAGGAACTCTTTGGTTGGGAGATTGCTAATCAGCATTTGATGCAGTATTTACATCAATAATTTTAGGAGTTCTTAAAAGGTAAAGGAATCAGAACTGTTATAACCGTGGCAGCAGGATTAAAATTAAAACTTGATGGCATTGTGCATCACATAATAGAGATACTTGATAGTGAAACAGTCAATATTTCAAGATATTTTTAAATTGCAAATGAATGGATAGAAAGAGGATTTAATATTGGTGCTGTATTAGGTAATAGAAATGAATTAAAAGAAGCGAAGTTCATTGCATGGCAGGAATCTCCCGTTCAGCAGCAATAGTAATTAGTTACCTTATAGAAAAGAAGAAGATGAATTATAACTAAGCCTTATCTTTTGTTAAATCTAAAAGACCCTAAATTAATCCAAATAAAGGTTTTAGTAATTAATTACAAGCATTTGTTGCAAAAGTCTCATAACCTCCATTGTCTAAAAATTCAAGAGGAAATCATTTCTAACAAAATCAAGAATACTATGATTGTAATCATTATGCTCCTATTAATCGAAAGGGATCAGCTGGAATCTTACAATAAAATATGAACTTTTATAAATCAATAACTAAATCTTTGTCTTAGAGTAAGAATAAAATTAAATGAGTTTAATATGTTCATTTCAATTATTAAAAATGAATCTGCTTTATTTTATACACCAAAAAGATTTCTTTTGAGATTAAATCTAAATATTTGGATAAACATAATTAAAATTAAAGAATCATAATGAAGAGTGCTCTTTATTTTGATAATGGATTTAAAAATTAATGTCTTTTCAGATATTTAACAGTCTTTATTTAATCTTTATTTTTAGATTCTTTTGGACTATATATATATAATATTATTATAATAGTATATATAAGTGAGGTGAGATAGTTACTAATTTTTATATATTATTATAGTATTGAGAATGTGGAGATATTTTTTATCTTATAAATTAATTAAATGAGAAAATAATAATAATAAGATGAAGCAGAAGAAGATTAAGCATCTCTTATGCCAATAAAAAATCATATAAAACGAATTGAAGTAGTTGTTTGAATTAGGTTAATATTAGGAAATGTTAGTGTTGTTAAATAATGATCTTGTTAATGATGCTAAGGATATTGATAAGAATAGACAAGATATTAGAAGTTTAGGAGAAGCTCAAAATAAAGAAAGAACAGAATTGCATAACTCATTACTTGATCATTGTCATAAAATTGTAACTGATATGCGAGAATTAAATTAATAATCAAAAAGTGAAACATATAATCTTAAACAATAAGTAATCAACTAATNAGAACTGTTATAACCGTGGCAGCAGGATTAAAATTAAAACTTGATGGCATTGTGCATCACATAATAGAGATACTTGATAGTGAAACAGTCAATATTTCAAGATATTTTTAAATTGCAAATGAATGGATAGAAAGAGGATTTAATATTGGTGCTGTATTAGGTAATAGAAATGAATTAAAAGAAGCGAAGTTCATTGCATGGCAGGAATCTCCCGTTCAGCAGCAATAGTAATTAGTTACCTTATAGAAAAGAAGAAGATGAATTATAACTAAGCCTTATCTTTTGTTAAATCTAAAAGACCCTAAATTAATCCAAATAAAGGTTTTAGTAATTAATTACAAGCATTTGTTGCAAAAGTCTCATAACCTCCATTGTCTAAAAATTCAAGAGGAAATCATTTCTAACAAAATCAAGAATACTATGATTGTAATCATTATGCTCCTATTAATCGAAAGGGATCAGCTGGAATCTTACAATAAAATATGAACTTTTATAAATCAATAACTAAATCTTTGTCTTAGAGTAAGAATAAAATTAAATGAGTTTAATATGTTCATTTCAATTATTAAAAATGAATCTGCTTTATTTTATACACCAAAAAGATTTCTTTTGAGATTAAATCTAAATATTTGGATAAACATAATTAAAATTAAAGAATCATAATGAAGAGTGCTCTTTATTTTGATAATGGATTTAAAAATTAATGTCTTTTCAGATATTTAACAGTCTTTATTTAATCTTTATTTTTAGATTCTTTTGGACTATATATATATAATATTATTATAGTTTGTTTTAATATTTGTTCCATATAATAGTATATATAAGTGAGGTGAGATAGTTACTAATTTTTATATATTATTATAGTATTGAGAATGTGGAGATATTTTTTATCTTATAAATTAATTAAATGAGAAAATAATAATAATAAGATGAAGCAGAAGAAGATTAAGCATCTCTTATGCCAATAAAAAATCATATAAAACGAATTGAAGTAGTTGTTTGAATTAGGTTAATATTAGGAAATGTTAGTGTTGTTAAATAATGATCTTGTTAATGATGCTAAGGATATTGATAAGAATAGACAAGATATTAGAAGTTTAGGAGAAGCTCAAAATAAAGAAAGAACAGAATTGCATAACTCATTACTTGATCATTGTCATAAAATTGTAACTGATATGCGAGAATTAAATTAATAATCAAAAAGTGAAACATATAATCTTAAACAATAAGTAATCAACTAATTTATCAAAAGTTATCATGCCTTAATCAAGATAAAATTAGATTATAATAAAATTTAATTGTACTCGAAAATAAAGTAATAGAAACTGACAAAGACATTGGATTTAAGCGTAGAAATTAATAATTAAATAAAAAAAAATGAATTAAGAGTTATAGTCATAGTTAATCAAAATGCTCTGATGTTGTTCTCATTAACCCAACTTAAAAATCTTCATCTTATTTCTATTATTAATTCATCACTTCTTCTGTATTCCCTATATCTTTAGACTGTCTATCATATAGATTTATCATCTAAATTAAATCTTGAGGAACATAATGAACATGAGTATCCCAATGGTTCCAACTCAATTTCAAGGGACTTGAAACTTTTTCTTCTTGTATAGGAACAATCAAAGGATTTTTGCTTCTAGGTAAGTATTGCTTTTAAATTGATATTTCTTATTATTATAACATTCCATCACTTTTCCTAATATCTAAAATATCACAATCATCAAAACTTTTTGTTGACTTTTTTTATTATCCTTTATGAAGCCAAGGATGCAAAGCAAAATCTTTAATATTTTAATATTTATAAACCTTCAGCTGAGAGTCTTTTCTCTGGATCTTTCTTTAAAAGTCTTTTTAATAGATCTTATTCTAAAGGATTTAATTTTTTAAAAGGTGACATGTTTTTTACATTTATTTCTGAATCTCTTATCATTTCAATTGTATCTAATACAGTTTCCTACTAGAATGGCAACTATCCGACCAATAATTAATATAAAATTATGCCTATTGACCAGATATCAACTTAAAATAGATTCATTTATACCTTTTTCATTATAACCACCTCCTAAGAATATTTCAGGAGCTTAATAAAATAATGATCCAGTTCTTGTCCACATATCAATTAATTTAGTTACTTTCCCTTTTAATAAAAATCTTTTAGAAACTCCAAAATCTATTAATTTCAATGTTAATTTATCTCCAATTAGTATATTATCTGGTTTAAGATCTCTATGACATACTCCTCTTGAATGTAATTATTTTATTGATTAAGCTAAATTTAATGCAATTATTTGAATATCTTCTAAACATAATTTTCCCATTCTCTATTCCAAACTCATATAAGGACAATATTCCATAACTAAGTGATGTTCTTCTTTCTTAGAATTTATAAAAAGATCTAGTGCTTTAACTACACAATTTAGATCATTAAGTGTTCGATTTATATGAAATGTCTCTCTGATTGTATTAATTATTTCCGTATCTCCAGTTCTAAAGATCTTAACAGCATAAGTGGTTCTTTCTGATATATTCAAATTGTTTTGATCTCGCTTGTAACATTTCTTTACAATCCCATGTGCTCCTTCACCTAATGCTAAATATTCATATAACCGATCTGATGATGGCCATATTCATAAATATCACTAAAATGTCTAAATTGTTAATTTGTGCTTTTTGTTTGATAATTTTGTATAGGTGGAGAAGAGTTTTAAGGTGGAAGATTTTATTTCAAATTCCTTCTATTTATGTTAAAGAGAGTGTTCTTCAGAGAAGCTCTAATAGTCATCTGATTTTTGCGATTCATTTAAATATAAAAAAAAATAAAATATTTTTTAATGAAAACTTAGATATTAGCAGTTAAAATACAATTATGAAAACAAAAAAATTGATTTAGAAATATTTAATTATCTGTTAAAATAATAATTGAATTTATTATTCTTAATTTATACAATAATCATTAAATTATTCCATCTTTTAATTATTCTTCGTATTATTTAATTATGCTATAATCTATTTCTTAAAAAATTGGTTTTATTTTTTATTGATTACAAGCATTTTTATAATCTATAAAGGTTTTAAATTATTTCATGAATTAATAATCTTTTTCTCTCTTTTATAATAATGGACTTTAATTTAAATTATTAATGTCATCAATTTATTAAAAATTGTTAGCTTGAATTAAATCAGAATATTTTGTTACTATTTTATCAAAAATAGATATGAACTAATAATTTTTAAATTCTTTTATAAGTTATACCTATTTTCAATTTAATTTATACTTAAACTTTATAAGAATCAAATAGTTTTGTCTTAGCGGAATTACAAATAGTATCATTTTTATTTATTGAATTTTCGATAAGTTCAACGATTTCTTATTAGACTAAAATCTTATATCCTTACCATAATAAATCTTAAGTTTAAAATGTCTTTAATTATTACAATATGTCCCTACTAAAAAAGCTTATGTTTTAAGTGAAAAAACCAGAGTAAGCCATTTATCCTTAATTATTTAAGTAGTTTTGTAATAAATGAAACAATTCTATAAAGTCATTTTCTTCATTTTAATTTTTACTTAATTAAAGTACATCATTTGTAAGACTTTTTATATTATTTTGAGAATTTCTTTGAAAACTTTAATTTATTAAAATTTCATAAAAGAGTAAACTAAATTTATTTTAATGGCATTATTTACAAAGGTAATCATAAAATATATTAAATTTCAAATAATGATATTTTTTATTTTTAGATCCTAAAAATAAATTATGTATGCAAATTTTAAAATCTTTGAAACTCAATTTTAAGTTTATTAGTAACTATTAATACTATTCCATAAATATTTTAAAACTAGTAACTAAAGTAATTTCCTCTATTTCATTCTATTGATATAAAAATCCCAAATTGGGATCTACAATCACTATACAAAATTTCTTTAATATATATTTATTAATTTTAGGTTATATCTAATCATTCAAACTTGCAATTTTCTTATACATAGATAGTTTGTTTTCAAACTCGGTTTCATTTATCAAAATACAAAGTGATCTAAATATCTGTTCTTCACTTAATATACCTATTATTGGGGAAAAATAATCCTAAATATTTTGATAAAATTCTTCCACTTTTCCTTATCCTTCCTTAAGACCTCCCAAAAGGAAAAATAAGATTCCACTTAGTTGTGTTTTTTTAGATAGAAATATTTAATTAGAACATATATTGCATTCCTTATCATCAAATATCATTTTTTGAAGATTACAGCTTACAGTATGAGGGCAAATAAATCCTGAGTTCATGGAATCAGGTTTATATTTTGAATTTTCAATGAGTGAGATAAACAGACTATATATTTGATCTATCTGTAAAGTTTATAGCTCATTAAAATCAACTAATTTTTACATTTTTTAATATAAAAAATTTATGAAAAATAACATAATAAGTTAAAATCTCATTCTTTTTTACATCTATTTGTACCTGATCCTAAAATTTAATGAATCTTAATTGAAAAAAACATTTTAAATCATAAAACCATTATTAAATCATTATTATACTTTAAATATAAAATATTTTCTTTTTATATTATATACTAAATATTTATCTATTTGTTAAAATAATTGTAAATAATTATAAAAATAGAGTGAAATGGAGTCTTATTATAAATTTGATTATATAATGGTTCAATTTCTTAGAAAGCATAAGTATTAAATTTAATCGAAAAAAATGTCTGATTAATTCATGAATAATTTCATTTTAATTATAATCAAAAATCTTAAAGTCATTTCTTACATCTAGAAAATAAATTAATTGATTATTTTCAAATTCACATAAAGAATGATTCTCCATTAAATATTCCATCGCTAAAAAATTCAAAGAATATGATGTTAGTTTATAATTTAATAATATTGATAACTAATATTATTAGGGACTTAATAATTATAATAATTCCTGTTTAGTCATCAGTTAATAAATATGCCCAAAGTTTATTGTTTAATTATATTTACACACCAAGGTTATCGATTACACAAAACATTTTAATTATTCTCCTAAAATCAATAAAAATGAGAATTAATATTCTCATTTTTAGGACTTTTTGATGTACTCAATTGTTATTTGTTATGAATTTTTCTGTTTCTGCTTAAATTAAAAATTCTCTATTCATTAAATTGATTTTATATATATATTTAAGACTTAAAATTATTCATATAATTAGAATGCTTCTAGTTAACAAGTAGCTAAATTTTATATTGATTGTGAATGATATTTTCATTTTGTTTTATTGTTCTAGGTATCTTTCGTCTATTTATTTTTTAAATATGTTAAGGATACTTAAGTACCCTTTTATGTAGCATTAAATACTCTGGTCCAATAATTAGGTTCATCATCTTTCTTCATCTCGTTTTTGACAGGTACATATATTTCTTTATGAAATATTTTGTGAGTTTCATCATCCACATTGTAGGTTAGATAAAATCCTACACCCATCCCTGCTAATAAATTTAAAATTGAACTTGCCATAAAAAAAAATTTATTATTAATAATATGAGCAATAAAAGATTAAGCAATTCATCTCAATAATAGCAACAATAAAAAAAACCAAATTTTAATGATTAACCAACTGTAATTCCAACAAAAGAGGATGATAAAAAGAGTTTGAATGGTAGTTAAATAAACGATTCTCAAGATGTAAATTAAAAATAATAACAATCAAAATTTGATCTTCCTTAAATTCCTAAATTTTAGAGTCTACCTTTAAGAGATTATTTTGACAATAAATTAAGTGCAATATTATTGGAAGGATTGAAAGAAGTTGGAAGATAGAGGTAATATTTTTGAATTATATAAATTTTAGACCTGAAAATCCGATTAGATTTTTAGGAGAATATTTACTTGAATAGGATAAATAAAAATGAATATTTATTAAGCCATTGACTTTAAAATTATTAAAAAAATATATTTATTATTTCACTTTTTCTTGCTTGTTTTTTTATTATCTTATTTTTATTATTCTTTAGGTTATTCTTTATTGATATCATTTACTTTATTTTATTATTATTGTTATTATTGTTATTATTATTATTATTATTGTTATTATTATTATTCTTACTACTTTTATTATTCTTATTATTTTTATTAGTCCTTTTGCTCTTCTAATTTTAATTCTTTTAATATAGATTGATCATTCTAAATTTATTTCTTTGAATCTTTTTTTTAATTCTAAACTGCTCCTTTTTTATTATTTTATTATTAATTTTGTTATTATTGTTATGCAATCTATTCTGTCTCTTATTTCTAAACTTTAATTTCTTATTTAGGTGGAGATGACTGGATATCTTATTACTTTTTTTATCCTTTTGGTGGAGATTAATCAACCTTATCAATTTATTAGTTTTTCAAATCCAAACTCTATTTATCTACACTTTGTCTTTGAACTGGCTCTTAAGATATTGATTAATGTTATAATTCTTTTCTCTTTTATTCTTCTCTAAACATCAATTCGTATTTTGAAACTTCCTCTAAATTCTTTTATTCTTTGTCCTGCATCTTTTTTAAAAATTTTTCTTATATGAATACTAAATTTACCATGCGCTTCTTTAGCAGCTTATTGAGCTTTATTTTATATATTCTAATTTTTTAATTTATGTTCATATTTCAAAATTGTTTGAGCAGAAAATTCGTAAACATTTCCAGTTGGTAAACCTTTCTTACATAGTTATCTAAGCAAGTCTAAGTAATAGATATATTTTACATTCATAAGCTTCTTGTAAACCTGAAGCTTGGATTACATTTTATTATTTCTCATTTTGTAATTATTTAGACATGTAATTAATATTATTCAATATAATAGATTTTATCTTGAATTTATTAAAATACATATGTAATTGGTTTTCATTTTACTAAATAAGGGAATTAAAGAATTGATGACTAGAAACAAAGACAAAAACAAATAAATAAATAAAGCCAAAAAACAATGTTTATTTACAGAAAAAACTTTGCATAATTATTTTTCACTATAGGTCTCATATTATATATCAAAAGTCTTTTTCCCATCCTTAATCTCCTTAATTTTGTCCATCCATTTATCTAACAGCTTATTCTTACTATAAAATTAGTAATATAAATTCAGATACTTTTATTTCTTCTTCAACCATTTTGCCATTTTATTCTAGAGATTTTATTTCTAATTCTGGTAATAATTTATCGGCAGGTGGTATATAAGGAGTCTTAATTTCTTTTTCTAATAATTTTTCCTAAGATATTATAGTTATTTACCCAATCAAAGTTTTCAAACCAAGGATTACCCTTTAAAGAAGCATAAGAGCCTCCCAATCTTACTTCAGGAACACGGGAAAGCAATCTAATTTAATTAAACTTAATTACTAATCCATCAGTTTTTTTGCCTTTTTATCTTTCAAATAATTTGGATAGGTAATATCTTTTTTAATTATCTCCTCATAAATTTCATAAGGATCTTCTGCTTCTTCTCCAAATGGTACCATTCCACACATAAACTCATATAAACATATACCAATTGACCACAAATCCACTAAACAATTGTAACCCTTACCACAGATTATCTCAGGTGCCATATCTAAATTTTAATATAAATATATTACAATGAGGAGTTCCTATAATTGTATATGTACGAATAATTCCTTATTTTCCTTTAATAATTTTAGCAGTTCCTAAATCTATTAATTTAAGAAATCCTTTATCATCAACCATAAAGTTCTCTGGTTTGATATCTCTATAAATAATATTTTAGTGATGTAAGTATTCAGTTATCAAAATCATAGATGCCACATAAAATTGGGAATCGTAAGTGGATAACAAACCTATCAAATAAATACAAAAATATACCAATATCTCTTATAACATCAAATAATTCCATTCCTCGAACATATTCTAAAAGAAAATAGACATCTAAGGTATCTTTGAATGTTTTCATGAAGGATATAATAAATGGGAAATTAACTATTTCTAGTACTTGTTTCTCTTATTGTAGGTACATAAAAATAACATTAAATATTACTTTTCTAATGTTTATTCATTAATTTGATTCTTATTAAATGCTTTCAAAACATATAATTATTGATTATATTTTGCTTTAACTAAATAAACTGGACCAAATTGACCATATGCAATTGTTTTAATATGGAGCAATTCAGACTTCTTAATATTTTATGCTTCTTTCTTTTTTGTTTGATCAGACTTCTATAACTTCTTTTCTAAAATTTTTTCATTTTTTTTAATCACTTCCTCTAGCTCTCCTCCAATACAATCTATAAAATTATCTGCTGTAATTTCAGCAATAACTCCATCTGTTTCCATAACAATGTCATCATCTAATCTAGTATTAGAATAATATATTATTTTACATTTTTGCTTTATTTGTCTATAAAAAATATTCTTCACCCCATGCTTAAGCTTTAGTAGCCACAGTTATACCAGATTTACTCTTTTTTAAACTACCTTCAATAATAACAATAATTTTTTAATTGGCTTATGTTCCTTTTTTCAAAATAACATCTCCTGCTTTACAAGATGAAATTTTCATCACATCCAACACCTTGTCTATTTATGCTTTAGTCAATTTGCTCAATAATGCATTCTTTTCAAAAGCCCACTTTTATAGATTTCTAAATGTAACAACATGAACTTGATCACCAAGTATTTTTGTGAGAGAATCTCTTCCCAAAGCTAAACACTTGACATCATCTTCAGCTCTAACAGTCATTTGTCTGACAGTATTATAATATAAGGCTTATTCACCAAATGAATCACCTTTGTATAATTTTCTTACTTCTTTGTTACCCTTCAATACAGAAACAGTTCCCTTTGAAAATTTGATGTTTAATTAATACTTCTTTAATTATATAGAATGATGATCCAGGATCTCCTTCATTTACAATAATTTGATTTTTATAGAACTTTTATACTATTAAAACAGCTGCAATTGCATCCTTTTATTCATTTGTCAAATTGTCTAATTTTATATAAAATGGATTTACGAAAAAATCTAACAACTTCCATAAATTTTCTATTTTCTTCATATTCTTTAGTGATCATTTCTTCAACAGCCCTTCTAAAAGTATTTCGATCTATTCCCCAAAGATTACAATTTTCAAAACATTTTACAGATGCAGAACGAGGAGCATTATATAATAGAGCTAATTCTCCAAATCCATCTCCTGTTTTCAATTCTCTTTTTGCCTAATTTTTTTTCAAATTCATTAATTTACTTTTTCATTTACAATTACTTCTAAGCTACCTCTTTATAATATAAAAAAACAAGTAGCATGATCTTATTATTTAAATATATATGTTCCTGCTGCTGCTTCACAATAAAACATTTTGTTAACTATGTTCTCTCTATATAACATAAATCATATATTATTACAATTCTGCTTCACTTAAATTGTAAAATACAAAATGATTTTTTAAACAAGTTAAAATAAAAGTAGTGTCATTTAGTGTTTTTTTCATATCTATTCTTTTAACATTCTCATGTATTACTTCACCACCCTCATTTATATTGTGTTTAAAATTTTAGAGTTTATCCTAAAACCCTATAAATAAATACATTTTCATCTCCTCCAGAACGTTAGTCCTCTTCTCCATCACAATGTATTTAATTTTCAGAATTATTCTATGATTTTGGATCCATTAAATATAATTTAATATTTATATTTATAAAATATAAGAATTTTGTTTTTTTATTTCCTTTAATCCAAAAACTATACTAAATTCTGTGATTTTACTATTTAAAGCTTTGGATTATTAAATAAATAATTAAAACACTAATTTTATATTTTTTAAATACATGTTTTATTTCTTACTTGATATCCAAAACTTCATTAAGCTTACTTAATTTTAGCAGTTCAAAGATTTTCTAAATAGTTCTTTATATATTTTAATATATGTAGTATTATTTAATTATATATTATTTTTATATCTAAAATTAATTACATATTTTAGAGATCTAATTCACATTAATTTAGTAATAATCTCAAAACTACCTTTATATTTGCTCAATATATATATTTTTCTAAGTGAAATATCATTTTTAATCTAGAAAAAAGAGAAAGAGAATATTTACAGAAAGTTAAATTAGTTCCTAGAAATTCTGGAGAATCATTTTAAAGGAAGTTTTAATTTCTTAATTTTTGAGCAAGCAAAAAAAAAAAATTAGATGTAGACAAAACAAATTGTCATACATGGCTACCTTCTCGAATAGGTTTTTCCAAGTATTCATGAATCATTTAGATTAATTCAATTATGATATAAGATTATATGATTTTAGAATATATATATTACTATCATTCTTGTTTAAATGATAGTATAAAAGTTTCAAAGCCATTTAAAGTCATCCCTCCATGATTTTTTAAGTAATCTTTTATCTTCAAAATTCTCTATTATAGTTTTTGAATGAAGGGATTAAATAATTACAATTTAATTAGAAGAAAACCTAGTTTCAAAATTCTCTGAAGGTTCTTCATCTACAGTATCATCAAGGGTTTATTTTTTCAATTCGCTCAAAGGATTTGAAAAGTAGTACTTTTAGTAAATAACAAATCGATTCATTAATATAAATAAATTAGTTGATGAAATTAAATTAGAAAATTAAAAACTCACTTTAATTATATGAGTTTGTCATGTGTTATTAAAATAATAATCATAATTAATGGAATTTCATTTAAAGATATTGGAGGGACAATCAAATAAATAACAAACTGGATAATTTATTTAGGTAATATAAAAAATCAATAATTTGAGAATAAACTTTATAAAATTTATTTTGAATATGAATTACTGAATCCATTAAATATATAGATAGATGATATATCTGTAAAATAGTCATTGTCAGAATGCTTAAATAAGATTCAAGATGAAAATAAATGTATTAAATAGATTACAAGTTTAAGAAACTTTGTTTTGAAACTGTAGGCTTTTAATTTATTATATTCTCAAAATTAAAAATTGGCATTCCCTTTAAAGTACGTTGAATTCAAATACTAATGAATATTTCAACAAATCCAGTAAATATTAAAATAATGGCTTCCTTTGATATAAGAAGATTTAAGTTGCCAATAGAAGATTCACTTAAGTGACTAAATAAATATCTAAAACACATTAGAGTGGTCAGTAAAAATTATGGAAACTTAAATCTCTTATTAATGATTAAATATTAAGTCAATAATAATAATTGAAAGAATTAACCAATCAAAAGGAGATTAGTTAATAGTTTTTCTAAGCATAAACATAATCAATATAATGAGTTTCAAACAATTAATCTCAAATATTATAATGGGACTTATTGATATTTATTTAACAGACTCAAAAATAACAATTTAAGATTTAAAAACTGTATGAATAGAATTAATATTAAGTTAATTTTGAATGATAAATTAAAATCATTAAAGTAAGATTATCTTAAGAATTGTATCCTGCATATTATTTGGCCAAAAGATTACTAATAAAAAATTTAAGGAAAATGATTTAGTATTATAAAATTTTATCAATCATGAATTCAATAAAGAATAAGAAATCATTTATGTAAATCAATATTTTCTAGAGTTGTAAATTGATTAATTTAAATTTCTAGAAATTAAATAAATAGTAAATCTTAATTAGACAAAATAACAATAATAATAGATAATAAAAGAAAAAGAAATCTAAAAAAGAAGTAGTTGGCCAATAAAATTAACAATAATAACCAGAAATACAAGGGAAGTTGAAATAAGAATATTTGATAATGTTGATTATCTTAGGAATACTGATAGCAATATATTTGAAGACATTATTTTGAATATTTATGTTATATGGTATTTTCAATAATCAACATTTAATGTCATGGCTACTCCCTAAAGTATCCAATGGCTAGTATGTTCTTAAGTTCTTAAATCAGCTTCAAAAACAAGGCCTACTCCCATAGCATTACGTCTTGATTAAGTAACATATACTGGTGTAGCTAAAGTATCTAAAATATATAAAAAGAATAAATTACCTTTTAATTTTAATTTATTAGCTTCAACAGGGATAACTTGAATTAGAGGCATCTCATAAATCAATTCTTTTGGATTCTATTTTTTAAGACAATTATTCTCAACATCCCATCTTGCTCCTTCCAAGTATAAACCTTCAATATAGCATCCAAATTCCATTCTTTGATTAATATCTTTAGCCTTGAATTTTTTGGTTACTTAAGTATATAGTCTACTTTTATCGAGAGCCCATGTTTTGGCTCTGCATGTAGTTTGAATTAAAGCAGTAAGATAACTTTCTGGAATATGAAGACCAGACAACCACATAACATAAGGCTCTTCTTTGCTTGCCCATTATGTATATTATTAAACTCTTCTCTTGAAATGATTCATCCAAGATCCTAGTTTCTTCTCTGTTTATGGTGCAAGTCTTCTCCACATACCAGGTAAGAATCCATTAAATAAGGCTAATGACAATTCATCTAGATCACTACTCATACCAATCTCACCTTTTAAGGCACGTTTAAGATTAAAAAGTGATTCATTTATTTTTATTATTAATTTGTTGAATCTTTCAAGTTCTTAAAACAAGACAACTTATGTTGGAGAGATGATTTCTCCAGCTTCTTTTCTTAAAGCAATGACATCCCAAATGACAGGTAATTTAGATAAGACATCTTCACTCACATCATTAACATATTTATCTTTGTCTACACCTCCTGAAACTGCACCTCCAGATGCTCTTAATTATAAAAGATTATCCCAAATAGACTTTGCACTATTTGTGAAATAAGTGATTTCTGCATTTGGATGTAAACCAAAGACAACTGGAGAATTTATAAGAGGTAAATGATCAATCATAGTTTGGAACCCTTCATGATTAAGTATTTTAGGTATTTCATATTTGAAATCTTCACTTTAAGCGAAGAGGAACTCTCTATTTTTATCAAAGAGAAAATCTCCCATGTATTCATCTAAATATGTAATCAATACTCTTCTATCATATGAATCTGTCACTCTACCTCCATACATAGCTTCTCCAATAAGATATTTAAGTGAATTCCAAGGGATTGTTTCATCTTTAGCATCATAAGCCTTCCTCAAATACATTGATAATAAACTGCTACTAATATTGAAATCTGATTCATTAAAATCATAACTAACATTCCATCCAATTTTACCATACTTTCTTCTATCCAAAATAATAGAATGGAAGAATGAAACTACATAAACTAATGTTTTATAAGCTACATGAGGACAAGAATTTAATGAATTTTCATCTATTTTACTCATGATAGCTTTCATGTTTAATTTCAATCCATCAGGTGGTTCTGTCACTACTTTAAGTGACTTTTGTAAAATACCCAAAGGAAACCTATCTGTAGGTTATGTTGTTAACCATAATCTAAAATCTTTATGTGGTTTTTGCATTAATTCCAAAGTCTTTTCTAAATAACTCTTCAACCATCCTGTTAATAAATGACAATTAGCTAACATTAACCAATGTCCTCTTTATGATGCAGCTTCAACAAATTATGATGCTTCTTATTCACTACCTTATCCAAGAGATAGATTTCTGAATTTAGCTCCTGTGAATCCTTTTGAATCACCCAACTTTATTACATCTGGTAATGGATCAGCTCCTGGTGAGAGAATAAATACAATAGGTGATTTTTCATTTGATTAATCGAATATTTTTTCATAATTAATAATTGGTGGTTGTACATAATTGGAATTTCCATAAATATCTTGAATATATTTTTTGACTCCATTAATTACACGATCAGGTCTGAAGACTCTTAATAATAATAAGATTTAGAATGAATTTAATTTAGTATATCCTTCTGGTAATGTTTCTAATTCAGGTCTTTCATGATCATACCATTTCTTCCATTCTTTACCATGCTTTTCTAAATCATCTGCTAATAATCTATAGGTATCAGCCAATTACATCAATCTCATAATATCTTTCCAACCTGAATCAGGTACCCATTCATAAGGTTTCTATCTCTAAACTTATTCAAGTGAAGTATTTCCTTTTAAGAAGAAATCTAATTCCTCATGATTTAATAATTTTTCACCATCTTATATCATAATAGTCATTTAGAAGGCAAACATCAATTTATGAATTTCAAATATACCCAAACAAGTATAATCATAAACATTACTTGTTAATTTATCAATAATATTTCTCAATCTTGATTCTAAGATAGTATCTTTTCTAGCATCTCTTAAAGATTGATTGAATACTTATAAATATGCACTTAATGAATATTCATACATTTCAGAAATTGAACTTAATGAACTCATTGCAAAGAATAATATAGCTCCTCTTTTAGCTACTGTTGTATAACTTTATCTTGCTTATTCAATTTCTTAACTTGTAATTTACCCATCATTAATTGCTTATTAAATCTCTTCAGATTTTGCTTTTGTTTAATCTAGTGTATTTATCAACTATACATTATCTAACAATGAACCTTAAGCTTCTGACAATCTTTATAATAAATCATCTTCTGCTTCTTTCAACTTTTTCTTATTTTCACTCATACTCTAAATGAGTTCTAATCTTTATTTCTCTTTATCTGGTCTTTCGAATGAAACAACTACATTTAATAATTAATCTCTCAATCCAGTTAATGTAACTGTATAATTAATAACCATAGTCTTTGACATAATCTCTGGTGTATATTTAGGATTTGCTAATTTAGTTGTGAAATACAATCTAAAATCATCATTATAGTCAATAATATTTTCACCCAATTTAATACTCTTCATGCCTGCCTTGATAATGAAATTCTTTTCTAAAATTGGATCTATAGTTGGATCTAATTCTTCATCTACATTTTCAAATAAAAATGGTTTGCCAAATCTGATACAATTTTCTAAAGGTTTCAAAAATACACCTGCTCCTTCATTTAAATTCAAAACTTTGAAAGCTATGTCTTTTTCTTCCCTTTTTTTAATCCAATTAACTGCCTATAATTGTGGATCAATACACAAAGGCCATCTTGAAGCTCTAGTTGTGAGTATACCATTTTAAACTGATAATTCATCAGATGGTAATCCTTCAGAATTCCATTAAGATATTTCTACTGCACTACTTAATAGATCTTCAAATTTAAATTCTGGATTCATTGGCAATTCCTTTTCCTTAATATCAACCATCCAATGATCATAAAGCATTCTTCTTCTAAATGAATAGTCAAATGGTCCTACGTAACTTAAGAAAGAACTGGCAATTAAACAATCTCCAATTAATTATAATGTCATCTATGCTAATTTACCAGTGTCTTCTGTCCATCTTTTCTTTTCACCTCCTAAACCTTCAATCAATTTCTTTGCTGCATTCAATTTCTTTTCCATTTCCTATGCTTGAGCTGTCAATTCAGCTAATCTTGCAGCTTTTTGATCACTCTAAACTTATAATTCAGACACTTCCTTTTATAATGCTGCCAATTTTATAGCAGTATTTGTTAAGTCTTTTTCTGTCTCTTCCTTCTACTTATTCATCTATTCTAAACGTTATTTAAGTGGTTCCACTTTCTTATATACATCATAGAAATTAACTGTAGCTGATACCCATTTATATAAACCACCTGCAGCTTTTGAAATCTTTGATATTTCATCTAAACGATTTTCAGGATCTTTCATAGCACTTTTAATCTTTTCAATTTAATTTCTAGTCACTTTTCCAATCTTGTTACCATAATTCTATAATTATTCCAATAATTTCATTGGATTATTCATCATTTATCTAGCAGCATTCCAACCATCTCCTTCAATACCATCTATAGGTTTAAATATAAGTAACATAGATGCAACAGCTCCAACTGGTTTAGGTGGTGAATTCAATGCTTTCAATTCAACCAACTCTTTTGAATCAATCTTACTTAGAGCCTCTTTAGCTTCCTCTAAAATAGGAATGGCATCTTTAAGAATTTAATCAGCTTCCTATTGTTTCTAATTGATTTCTACACTGTCCTTCTCTAATTGTTTTTTCTTTTATGAAGCTTCTTCATTATCTCTTGTGGCAATCTCCTTTTTACCATTAATAATTTTTAGTAAATCCTCAACTTCTCTACTTTCATTAGTCACTTCTACTTTCTTAATTTCTAATTCCCCTTATAATACTTTCACTTATTCAGATGCTTCATCCAACTTTAAAACACCATTTGTATATCTCACTATAAGTTCCTAATATTTTTTTCTATTAACAGCCAATAAACGTTTGTAATTTTATAGGAAATCTAAATAGTTTTTGGGTGTGCTGAAATTCTTTCTTCTTAATTATAATTCAAAATCTCTTGAAAACATTTAGATACTCTCATGAACTTTGGTGATATGTTAAATAATCTTAGGTCTGAATGTTTCATCTTCTAAGTTTTCATCCTTTAAATACTCAGTAGCCACACTTACCAAAGCTTCTTCAGGCCAAGGGAAGAACCAATTAATTTAAGTATTACTAACTAAGCCTGGGAAATTACGACATCTAATTCTCAAAGTATCTCCAGCTGGACTCATACACAAAACAATGTGCATATTGTCTCTAATTTTTTCAAGGAAATAATTCCATAATTCATCTTTTGTTTCTAAAATACCTTTTCTTTTTGCTTCATCTCTCACCTTATCACTCATTTTCTTCTTGCCATCTTCATCAAAAAGTGCTGGTACCATTCCTATTGTAAGCATATTATTAATCAATTCTAAGAAACCTTCTTCTAATACATGAGCATCAGTAAACAAGAAAATTGTAGGTTTCTATGTCAAAAGATCATATAAAGTCTTTAAGTCTTCTCTAAATTCTTTTTCTTTATATCCTCTTGTTAAAGTAATTTAGAATATATCATAACTAGCAGTAAATGCACTCAATCTAGTCAAAGATTATTTACCACTACCTCCATAACCTACAAGTAAAGCATGTCCTAATGGGAATCTAATAATTCTGTGAATTTTAGTTAAGTGTTCTAAAGCATCTTTAAACAATACAAGATTCATTTCCTTAACTTCTTCATTATAATCTTATAATAAAGAGTTGAATTTTTAACCAACTTTTTCAAATCCTCCACAATCTTCATATAATTTAGGATCAACTACATCTGGATCAAGTGGATTAGCTGTTAAATAATCACCAAAAAGCAATGGATCTTATATTGCATATTCTAATGTATCACTGAAGTGTTCTCTAATTAAACTTGGAACCTTATCTACATTAATAAGGTCTCTGTCTTAATCATTAATGAGACGATCTACGAAGACACGAGTTAGTTCATTTCTCCATAATCTAATAAAAGATTCTTTAGTTTAGAATTTGTCAAGTGTACTTCTACATAATCCTTCATAGATTCTGCTTAAATCTCTTAAGTTAAAAATGTAATGGAATTTAACTGGAGTACGTGGCAATTAGATTACAATAGCACTATAAATTTGTAAAGTAGCTTAAGTTATTTTAGCAACAGTTGATGAGACTTCTTCTGGAAATCCTTATAAATGTGATTTCAAAATTGAATTATAAATTCTCTCTAAGTTTTCATTAGATGGGAATAATAATTGATAACAATTAAACAAACTCAAAAATCTTGGATCAAGTGGATTAGCACCAACATTTGGTGGTAAAACAGCTGCAACAAATTAAGTGTCTTTTATAATTTTTTGATCTAGATTTTAACTTCTTTCATAACAGAATCCTTTTTCAATCAAAAATTTCAACCAAGCTATAGGTTATTATGTACCATATATATCTACTTTAGGCATATGAATATCATCAATGAAAATTATTAATTTTTTACCTGCAATTTTAGGACCAAAAATACGACCTGATCTTTTATCAATATTTTCATCTAATGCAGTTTAAACATCAATTGATTTTGTTCTTGATGAAAAATTGATATTTAATTTCATATAGTTTTCAGATGGTAAGGAATTCAAATAATTTGTTATAATGACTGATTTAGCAGTACCACTATCTCCTACAAACATACAAGGTTATTTGTGAGTGATATTTTATCCTAAAAGATATGAAAATCTCTTAGTATCCACAGTTGGAACTAAGATTTTTGAAAATTTTCCATCAGGAGGTGGTTAATATTCTGTCACTTTCTTTTCCCAAGCAACCCAAGCTTTATTATCTAAAGTATAATCAAAGAAAAGATCAAACAATGAACCAGGAGGAATATGTCTTTATGCAACTCTTCTTAATACTTCTTCGAATTTCTTACGAGCATCAAATTTTAAGCATGCACCTAGTGACCATACTATTGCAAAAATATAAGCTAATTCAAGATTTTCTTATTCAAATTAAGGATCTTCTTCATTTATAATTGTATCTAACATTTTTGTCAATTATGTTATGCAATTTAAATTGGTTCTGGGAATAGAAAACTCTAAAACATGTCCTTATTCTTCTCCATCAATACCCTCAAAAATAAGATTCATTAATGTAGGAATATATTTTGTATAAAATTCTTCAAGATTTTATTTCAATCCTTCTGCTTTATCTCCTTTCTTTTACCATTTTGACAACCACTTATCATAAAATGGTTTATATCCTAAATTTTTTGGATCTACATAAACCATACCACATCTACTAATAGTAGCAGGTGATGCATATTAAAGATCAAATACTTCGAATAGTAATTTACAAAATCTCTCCAGACGTATACGATCACCATTAATAAGTGTTAATAATTTGTTATCATCCATAACAGAATTCATATTTTCAACCCAAACAGCATCAACATCACCATCTAATAAAATCCATCTTTAATGAACTTCTTATTAACCAGATGGTTTTTCATTTGCAATACGGAAAACCTTACTTAATATACCATCTTTCCATTCTCTAGTTGTCATTTCCATTACACCATATAATTCATTAACAGTTATAGATTTAGGATTAATACAATAATAGGTAGCACTTTCTACTCTTTTTAAGATTTCTATAACAGCTGACTTTCCTGATCCAGTTGGTCCTACAACCATTGTTGTATGTCTAGTCAACATAGTTTCAAATAATTAAACAACTTTATCAATTTAATCATCTAAAGGTCGATATCCTAATTGTTCAACAATCTCTTAGATTTTATCTTTCTTTTCATATGGTTTTCTCTTAACATCAATTTTAGGGAATAAATCAGTAATCAATCCTTAAAATAATGGAACATCTTCAAATATGAATTTAGGCATATTCATATCTCTAAGTGCTCTCATTAGTACAGTATCTTCAGGTAGATCAGCTGCCTCTCTTTTAAGAGAACCTGCCATAACTAACACACTCTTTAATGCTCTCAAACCAAAATCATAATGGTATTGTTTACTCAATTATTCACTACCCAATTTATATAAAACTGTCATCTTTTTAGCTAAAACTCTGGCTGAATTGAATCCCTAACTCATCAACATAATCTCACAAATAATATTAGAATCAGGTACAACCATAACAACTGGTCTAAAAAGAGCCTTTAAATTATCAGGTAATTCAGTTCTACCAGCATATCCTGGATTCATTGTTACAAATATTCCTACTGTTGTTTTAACTTGCACTTCTTTCTTCAATAATTC